TCGTTTGAGTGAAAATTTGAAAAATGGATGAAATAGGGTGCTTGATTTAAAGATGACATTATTTTCTGTGAATTACATATAGGACATTCAAAACCAATGACTGTGTTGTAGGCTATAGTGACAGTGTTGTAGGTTGAGTGGTTGTGGTGTTGTATCTTGCGGTGTAGTGGATGTGGGAGGTGCAAGGAGGTATAGTTGGATGGTTGTGGTTTGATGGCTGTGGGTTGGGTGTTTGTGGTCCTGTGTCTTGTGGTTGTGGTAAATTTGAAATGTGTGGAGGTGTGGTTGGATGGTTGTGGTGTGATGGTTGTGGGTTGGGTTGTTGTGTTGCTGTCTTGTGGTGTGTTGGTTGTGGGTTGTGTGTGAATGTGTGGTTTGGTGGTTGTAATGCGGTATCTGTGGGTTGGGTTGTTGTTTTGTGGGTTGTGGTGGATGTGCTTTTGGTTGTAGTGACTGTTCTGCGTGTTGTTTTAGCTGTGTTGTGAGTTGTGGTGTTGTGTCTTGTGGTGTGGTGGTTGTGGGATGTGTGTGGTTGTGTGGTTGAATGATTATTATATGGTGGTTGTGCTGTGAATTGTGGTGGCAGTGTTGTGGGTTGGCTGATTGAGGTTATTAAAGATATGTGGTGGTTGAAGTAATGGTTGATTTGTTTCCTTATAAACAACTTATATTTGAGAAGGGGTAGACAGTGTGATATGTTTGTAAATGAGGCAAAGTTTTAATGTGATAGGCTCCAAGAAATGAGAAAAAAGGTATTTATAAAATAGTTATGATAATTGATTGTGGTTGGAGGTGCTTGTGGTGCTTTTGGTTGTGTGTGAAAGATGTGGTTGTGTTTTTGAGGTGAGAGTTGTGTCAAATATTAATGTTTTGGTTTAATTTTGTGTTGTGAAGGTTGTCTCATGTGTGGGCTCTGGTTGCTGTCAAATATTAATATTTTGTTTTATCTATACTAGTAACGCAATGGTTAAGGCTAAAGAAGTCAGTTCATATTCTATGTGAGATAAGGAAGTAAAGCTCATATTTTGCGACCTTTGTCTTAAAGAGGTTAAATTGGAAAATAGGCCCACCATCTATTTTAATAAGAAAGGGTGACAAAAAACTATGAAAAAATTTAAGAAAATGATGAGAAGGGTGTATGATAGGTTGCAACTTAAGAACAAGTGAGATAAGTTGAAAGAGGACTGAAAATTATGGATGGAATCAAAACAGGGATTCATAGGCTTGGGTTAGGATCCAATCAAATGGAATTTTGATGCTTCAGAGAAATGGTGGGTTGAGAAATTGAAGGTAACAACTTATCAATGAAAGACTTTATTTTCATTACTTTCTTTTCATGAACCATATGAAGTAATCAAATTGCCCGCATATTACAGGCAGTGCCAGTCGACAAAAAATTCAAACATAGTGGTGTTGACCCTGATTTGGAAGAAAAATTAGACTGTATGGTTGGTGGGGTTGTAGCAACAGGGACTAATGCCTGGAGTTCTAGCGAGCACGGGTGCAGGCATACCAGAGGACTTGGATGGCGAGCATGTAACTAGCTCCGATGATGGCCCAAGCGCAAACTAAAAAAGAACTAATGTCCACATGCAAGTCAAAGCTTTCTAGGGTGGAGAAAAAGAAAAAAAGGAGCTACTTTCATCATATGCTAAATATCAAAACTAGTGGCTTCAAGCATGAGTGGCCCGTGACTTCACTTGCGACCTCCACAGACGAGGTTATCCAACTTCGGAGGCAACACCCAAAGTTTATGAGGAAATGCCATTTTATTTGAACTCTTTGAAATTGCTGGAGGACCCGACCTGTAGACAGATCTTTATGAAGATGGCTCATGACCATTAGATCAATAATTTTTTTTGGCAGGAAGGACGATTGATTTTATGTTGTTATCATTGACCTATTTGTATTTCTTTTCTTGTACTATTTTTTTTTTATTTTTTCATTTGAATGTTTTTTTCTTTGTCGTAGGAACAATCTATATGTTATTCTGCATTTTTTTCTTCTTATTGTATGCCGAATGATTTGATTTTGGATGCTTAGTAAAGTTGTTTGATTCACATGTATTGCTTGAACATACCACTTGTTTAGCATGGGTTCACAAAGAGAGAGGCGCATAATGAAATTTGTGACAACATTTTTTCTGTTGTACGAACATTATAACTCTTACATTAACCAAGCTCTCTGCATGACATCATCTTACATTGATGATGAATGTGTTGTAAGACACATGACAAAATTCAACATATTTTGTATGACAACCTATATTTATGAATCTGCTTAATGAACTACATAAAAATCATCGACTTCATGGCTCCTCTAAGATGACAACCAGAGAAGTGTTAGCAATAACCTTCTACATTTTATCATAGAATGAATCAATGAGAAAATGGTGGGTTAAAGACAACCAAAAATCATTTTTTGACAAGATCTCTTGTCTTATTATAGTGACGGATTCATTGATTGATATACTGAGCTTTTTGAGACCTCATGCCTAATGGATTATCTTTTAAAGCATTTAGCTCAAGGATTTTTGCTACCTCTCGAGGATTGTTGTGCCACTATGGACATCAGAGTTTTTTGTTGACGTGATGTCAGCTACATAGCTACGAAAGACAGTTCTACAGGTGCACACGGAGATTCATGATAAGTGTGACTTCTTTCGGTGGGCAGACAAGCTGGTGGGTTCCGCCGTCGAGATTGATAAAAAATGGATAGTATCCCTGGAGAACGACTTCACTCGCGATATACGCTGTCTCCATTTTAAAAATAATATTATCATATTTTTTAATGTTATTTTAATAGTCTTTTTTTTTATTTTAGTAATGATGATACTCACTATTAGGTGAAGTGTATATCTTATTTTTTTCTCTGTTTTGAAGTGGTTTTTTCTTCTAAAGTATTCAATGTATTGCTATGACAGTTCTGTTGTAAACAACATTACTACACAGTGGCAGAATTGTCATTTGTCCATAAACAGTCGTGTCGTAGCTTTTTCTAACAACAATAAATAGACAACCAGCCAGTTTATTCGCAACATCTTTCTAGGAAGCTGTTGTGCAAAAATTTATTAATAAGCTGCAGCTGCCCCAAACATACCCTAAGTAAAAGCTATATAGGCTTCCTTCTTAATTATGAATTCTGAATGTAAGAGATCTTTTCTTTCAGCTATACCGATCAACATATTTTCATAAATATATATGTTTAGAAGCTATATAACTTGAAATGACGTGTTGTTGACTCATCGCCTTCTCATATAACAAATTTCTTTTATATCGCATGTTATCAAAACACATCTGTTGAACATGAGTCATCTCAATAGTGGAAAATTTTTTTCCTTTGAAATTAACTCTGAAAGTCTAAGTGCAAATATGTGCACATTAGAACTCATTCACCTAATTGATTAATTTACTAATAAAAGTCTACTAGGAACAACTAGAATAAAAGAATTTACACTAAAACATTTAATTTTTTTAACGTTCATTTGTTAAGGCATCGACACTATAGAAATCAGCCTATTTATGATGGTCAAAAGGCGTTAAATGTTAAAACGCAATCAATTAATAAAAACTCGATGGTTTCCCAACGGCCTAGAGGGTGTCTATTTCGCTTGTCGGTAATCCTGGAAGTGATGATATATCTGACAGCTTGGAACATCTGATGGTTTAATATTGGGTAGTACATGTAAGTTTATGTTAACAACATAATCGTTGATGGGTCATCTGTTACTTAATGAGGGATTACAATTTTTAAAACAAAAAAAAAAAAAAAAAAAAATTGAGTTGGCTAGCTATTGATTAATCTTCAGATAACGAATCTGTAGTCAAAAACCATTGGTTAATGCCAAAAGAAAAAATCTGTCGGATGCTAGTAGATAAGTTCATAGGTTTAGTAGCCTAATGTCACCTCCCAAAAGAGCCCTTAAGGGTGGTGGGCAGCCCAGGACTTAAATACTGCTTTTCGGCCCTACACCTAGCCAATGTGGGACTATTTGTCCGTGACATTATGCTTCACCCTCGTCACGGATCGGCTCCACCGAGGGTCCCACTGGACCATGGAGAGTCCACACACCTGGCAGGCAGTAATCTGCTTTGATACCACTTGGCATCTCCCAAAAGAGCCCTTAAGGGTGGTGGGCAGCCCAGGACTTAAATACTGCTTTTCGGCCCTACACCTAGCCAATGTGGGACTATTTGTCCGTGACACTAAGGTGTCTCCCATCGGTTATTCGATAACCAGTTGTGTGACAGTCGTTATCTGTCAGTTCATACAAAAAAGACTATATATTGTTGGATGTCGGTTGGAAAGCAGTCGGAAAACTGTAGCTTGTAAAAAAGTGTTCATATCATATAATTTTCACACCTTCAATCTTAACACCGACACAAATCTAATCTAAGTTACCAATCGAAGATATTCTTAAACTAAAATCCCTTGAATATTGAATTTAACACTCCAATTAAACACAGAAATAAATGTAATGTATTGAACAAAAAATTAAACTATTTGTACTTAAAAGTAGCAAAATTATTTATTTTAATGCAAGTACTTTTCGATAAGAAAATACACTAATACCGGAGTTGCAGCTGCTCATATGCAGCTTTTATTTTGTGCATGCTTAAAATAAAAATATTTACTCATATATAAGTTCAACTTCAATAAATATTGTTCTTCACAAAAGAGAAGGGTATTTTCTCATAAACAAGTTATTTCTTGGTGGAAAAACATTTTTTGCTATATAATGTTCATTTGGGTGAAATTCTAATATTCCATATCCGCAAGAAAATGAGTTGGATGAACAATATGAAAATCTGGTATTAATTTATTAGTTAGAAAAAGTGCTTATCTACTTTCACATACTTTGCCGAGTCGGCATCACTGTAAATACGATGTTATAAGGAAATAACACATTTCTTCTGTTTATATTGTGATTCCTCTAGCTTTCTTTGCTTTTAATCAGCTCGTTACCTTTTTATTTCTTTTTGTTTTCTTAATTCCACCAGTATGTTGAAGACCCTAGAGAGATACCAAAAGAACAATTATGGTGCACCAGAAACAAATATTATATCAAGAGAAACCCAGGTAAAAATGTTTAATTATTTTCTTTTGCAGCTCAATTACATATCCCTTGACAGTCCAATATATTTAATCAGTCTTTAAAATCACTTCAAACTTATATTCGTTAAATTTTCGACCCCATATGAATAATATTATTGCTTCTCTGTTATAAATGTCTTAAACGAATTGGAAGGACGCGAAATGAAATTTACGATGCCTTCAGCTCTTAGTTATGAAGCTGTAGCAATTTACTATGACTTTCAAGCCCTTACCCATTTTGTTTCTGTAGGCCTGAACATATGCATTCGAAATGAGAAAATTATTAATCTCGTTTTCACCCGTCCATTCCTAATATTACGCTCTTTTCGTCTAACTTGACAAAAAGTATAACTTCTCGCCTAATGCTTAGCAATAAATATAAAAAGTTTTTCATTCAATGTATATTCGACAAATTTCTATTCTATAAAACCTACTCTGTCAGGAAATAACACGAAAACGGTATACTTTAATAAATATAAAATTCTTCTTTAAATGCATTAGGAAATGTAAGAAATGATATAAAACTTTAAGCCTCAAATGAAACTCTAATTGTAAATCTTTATATTAATTACAAAACATCTGTCTCAAACTCTAATACGAAAAAAAATCTGGTTTTGCTTGAATTTATTCATGCTAGAATTGGTTGGTAAGAGTAATTATTCTGGCATAGAAAATTCTTTCATGCGGACATATATTATCTCTGATTTCCTGGCTAAGAAGAAGTCTTTTTAGTTGTTTTTTTGAGTCTTGTTGAATATATAACATTGTAGATGCAAATAACTTTGGAGCCATTGATGAAAGTTTCATTGCACATAACTTGAATATGGCCTCAAGAGCTCTGAAATGACAGAAAATTAATTATGTTCCGAAGTTAGATTGATGATTGTTATATATTTTTTTTATGACTCACATTTATTTTAATAACTTAAACATTTATTTTAATAACTTATGAGATTTATTTTTGATAACTTAAATCATTAATTTTCTTAACTCATAACTTATGTCATAAATTATGACAACTTATGATATTAATTTTTGATAACTTAAGTTATTAATTTTCTTTAACTCATAACTTATGTCATAAATTATGACAACTTATGATATTTATTTTGATAACTTAAGTTATTTATTTTCTTAAATCATAACTTGTGACAATTTATGATATTTATTTTTGTAACGCATATAACCCCTAAAATAAATAAATGTTACTAACTTATGTCATTAATTTTATTAATAAAAAATAATTAATTTATTAAATTATCATAAATCCTATTGGTTAGTAACCCGCTTGATGGATGGTGGTTAAATAGAACATGAATTTGAGAATGAGTTCTCTCTCTACCTATCATACCCCATATATTTCTCTCCATAAAAAAATATAGAAAGTTTCAAGGGATTACAGAGAGAAACTTCATCTCTTCAAGATCAAATATCTTCAAAATCAAATTTGTTCATCTTGAATACATATATGCGTCACTTTATTTAGATATGTAAAAATCATTAATTTAAAAGATCTTGTTATTATGTATTTTTTTTTTAAATTTTTGTCATAAAGTTGAAACATGAATTTTCTAACATGTGGTATCAGAGACTTGATTACTAAATTTATGATTTTTCATATAATTTTATTTATGTTAATTGTAATAAATTTTCGCTGTGAATTAAATTTTTACTTAGATCAATAAAACTAAAGTAAATTGATGTGATTAAAATTATTATTTATTTTTTGTCTATGTAATGTTTAATTAGTCACCAAAGTGACAAAATTAATAAGTTTAATAGACGTTAAATTAAATAAATTCAATTAATCAAGAGTATGTGATGCTTGTTATGAAATAATTTAATATTTTATTAAAAAAATATTAAAATTCATTAATTATAAAATATTTTTAGATCGCCCAAAGGTTGATCATTTGTTTTATAATCATTGAATATAACTATAGTTTATTTATATACTAAGTTAAGGTATGTTTATACATCCAAAGATAATAGACATGTCTAACTTGAGTACAAGCAACTATCAATTATATTAAATTTAAGTCAAGCATCAATTATGTTTATTATCATGTATTGTTATATCACCCAAAGGAGATTTCAATACGCTATTATTATTATGATCATTATTTTAATATGATTTTATATGAATATCTATGTAAGTTTAATGTTCGAAGCATTGATGTACGAGCATGTTTTATTTATTTGCAGTAACTATTCTTGTTTCTCTTCATTCTCAAGCTACATCTATTCAAACTTTCAATGGGCTTAATTTATCTGAATGGCGTGAGCAAGTCCAGTTTCACCTTAGTGTTCTGGATCTTGATTTAGCACTTACGACTGAGAAACCCCCTGCTTTTTCTGATTCTAACAGTGCTGAGCAAATATCTTTATATAAAGCTTGGGAAAAATTGCACAGATTAAGCTTAATGTTTATGCGAATGACTGTAGCAAACAACATAAAGTGTACATTTTCTAACACTGAAAGTGCTAAGGAATTTATGAAATTTGCTGAGAATTGTTCTCAGTCTGACTCTGCTGATAAGTTTTTTGTTAGGACACTATTGAGTACGTTAACTAATATGAAATTTGATGGTTCTCATACCATGCATGAGCATGTCGTTGAAATGAAGAACATAGCAGCAAGACTTAAGACCCTAGGAATGAAAGTGAATGAAAATTTTCTTGTGAAATTTATCAGTAACTCCTTGCCTCCTGAGTATAGTCCATTTCACATAAACTACAACACTATGAAAGATAAGTGGAATGTGAATGAACTACAATGTATGCTCATTCAAGAGGAAGCAAGGCTTGAGAAATGAACAAATCACTCCATTAATCTAATGGGTCATCAAAGAAGAGCTGTAAAGAAACCTGGAAAGAAGAATGGGAAGGGCAAGCAAGGACCACTAAAGATTAATGTGTCATTTGCAATATTTCACATAAAGAGGAATATAAAGGAATTAAGTGTCACTTTTGCAGAAAGTCTGGACACTATCAAAATGAGTGTCAAAAGCACAAAGATTGGTTCAAAAAGAAAGATAAACCTTGTGTTTCTGTATGTTTTGAATCAAATTTAGCAGAAGTTCCTTATAATACCTGGTGGATTGATTCTGGTTGTACCACTCATGTTTCTAATACAATGCAGAGATTCCTTACAACCCAAATCATAAACTTAAATGAACAATATGTCTTCATGGGAAACCAAGTCAAAGTGCCAGTTGAAGCTATTGGAACCTATCGGTTGATTTTAGATACTGGACATCTTTTAGAACTTTTTTAAACATTTTATGTCCCTTCTATCTCTCGTAATTTGATTTCGTTGTCTAAACTTGATTCTATTGGATACTCATTTAAATTTAGAAATGGTTATTTCAGTTTGTTTAAACACAATCATCTCTTAGGTTTTGGTATTCTTTGTGATGGCCTATCCAAGCTTAAACTTAATAACCTTTTCTCTAAGAATTTGATGACTTGCGTCATAATATTGGTACTAAATGCAGTTTTATGAATGAAACTTTAGCTTATTTGTGGCATAAACGTTTGAGTCTTATATCCAAAGAAAGAATTGAAAGATTAGTAAATAATGAAATCTTTAATGAATTAGATTTTACTGATCTTGGCATCTGTATGAATTGCATTAAATTGAATTGCATTAAAGGAAAACACACAAATCACACACTTAAGAAAGCCGCCACAAGAAGCACACAACTCCTTGAAATTATACACAACTGAAATTATACACAATGATATTTGTGGACCTTTTGATGTTCGATCTTTTGGTGGAGAGAAATACTTTATCACCTTTATCGATGATTTTTCACGTTATGGGCGTGTCTATTTATTGCATCAAAAATCTCAAGCTATACATGCCTTAAAGGTGTAAATAACTGAGGTTGAGAGACAATTAGACAAAAAAGTGAAAATTATTAGGTCTGATAGAGGCGGTGAATATTATGGAACTTACAATGGATATGGACAATGTCCAGGTCCGTTTGCTAAATTCCTTCAAACTAATGACATATGTGCTCAATACACTATGCTAGGAACACCACAACAAAATGGTGTTGCAGAAAGGCGAAATCGTACTCTAATAGAAATGGTTAGGAGTATGATGAGTAATTCTTCTTTACCCTCATCATTGTGGATGCATCCTTTAAAGGCCGCTGCATATTTATTAAACAGGATTCCTAGTAAGGCAGTTCCAAAGACTACTTTTGAACTATGGACAGAAAGGAAACCTAGTTTAAGGCACCTGTGTGTTTGGGGTTGCCAAGCGGAAATAAGGTTATATAATCCACATGAAAAGAAACTGGACTCAAGAACAACCAGTGGTTTCTTCATTGGTTATCTAGAAAAATCTAAAGGGTATAGATTTTATTGTCCTAATCATAGTACGAGAATTATTGAAACCGGAAATGCCAAGTTAATTAAAAATAGTGAAGTTAGTGGGAGTTTGGAACCACATAAAGTGGAGATCCAAGAAATTAGGGTTCAAGTTCTTGTACCCAAAATTTCTTCTCAAGTTGTTATTCCTACAGTTGTTGAATATTTTGACAACTTACAAGAACAACAAATATATTATCAAATACCCCACAGTGAAACTGTCACTAATGAACCTATATTAGATGAATCACATGAAGTAGTACCTAGAAAGTCTCAACAATAAAAACGGTCTATTATTTTCGATGATTATGTGGTTTATCTTCATGAATCCGAATTTGACTTATGAGTCAATGAAGATCCAGTTTCATTTTCATAAGCCATAAAAAGTGTAAATTCTTTTAAATGGTTAGATGCAATGAAAGATGAGTTGAAATCGATGGATCACAACAAAGTCTGGGATATCATTGAATTGCCTGAAGGTTGTAAAAGAGTCGGGTGTAAATGGGTCTTTAAGACTAAGCGCGATTCGAATGGCAATATTGAACGATATAAAGCCAGACTTGTTGCCAAAGGTTTCACTAGCCTTGTTGCCAACGGTTTCACTC